CACATCATCAAATAAGGAAGCATCAACAGAGCTCGATGTTTCATGAAACTCAAAAAATTTAGAGAAATAAAGAACAACGCTTTCCCCAATCTCCTCATCCCCAGTAATCCAGCTCCCCTCATCATTTTTAATCCTCACAATAGTGTTATTGGCTCATTTTTGTTTAATGCAAGCATGGAAGTACTTGGTGTTTCTATCACCTTGAGAGAAGTGAGTCTCTCCAACTTTTTGTTGCAACAATTCCTCCTCCCAAAGAGAGGCCTCCAAGAATTCTTTATTAGCTTCCTATAAGTCATGGATAATATCATCAGAAAATTCATCAAGAGCCTGTAGGAGACTGACCCTCTGCTAAGTCCTCTTAACTCTAGCATGAACATCACCAAAGACATCCCAGTTCCAAGACTTAGGGCAGAAACCACCTTTTTATGTAGCTTCCAAAGAGTGAACCATGCATTGTCCACCTCCTCACATCTCCAATTAGTAGCAATGACTCGCAAAAAGTCATCATGTCTAGCCCAGACGTTTAGACAATGAAAGTGATAGGTGGAAACCTTTTTGAAATAATCAAAGGACAAAAGAAGGGGGTTGTGATCAGACCCAAATCTGCAAAGATGCTAAACTTGCGAAAAATCATAAGAGGAAATCCACAACTGATTAGCAAAACACCTATCTAGGCGTTCAAAAAGCTTTCCCCTTTTCCAAGTGAACTTAGAACCAACAAAACCCAGATCAGAAATGTCAGCGAGATCCAAAGCTTTATTGAATTTATCAGTTAAAGTGGTGTCAATTTTCCGACCACCCAATTTTTCAGAATCATGCAACACCATATTGAAATCCCCTCCAACCATCCAATTCTGGTGGATTAAGGCACCCATATCAGATAGTTTGTGCCAAAGATCATATCTAGCAGCATTAGTAGTCTCAGCGTAAGCAAAAGTGAGACATCTAGAGAAAACATCCATAGAAAAGAAAGTGTGCATAAATTGTCTATTATCAATAACGACATTTACTATGATATGTTTTCGTCAAAACAACCAAATCTTGTTAGAGCAATTAGCAAATAAAGAAAATTTTTTGAATTTACCCAAAATACGATCATCCGGAGAGGAGACTAATGGTTCCAAAATAGCAAAGATACCGACCTTATGAATCCTTATCATTGACTTGAGTCAAATTAGGACATTAAACATAAGTAGACATATGCTCCTAGAAGATCTAGTTCGAGTCCATCCATTTTCTCCATCTGAAAACTAGTGATTCATATCCAACAAAGTGTTCCCACTATTATGTTTTTGCACGTTCTCTTGGCCTCTATACTTCCTCCAATGATACTTTTGAACATGTCGTTCATCCCTTAATATTTTAGAAATATCCTCCAAAGGAGTATCAGATAGGGCATCAGAATGATGAAAATATAGAGAATTATTATCAGTATTCAAAGCGTTAGGAAGAGAGGCCGAAGAAGGACGAGCCCCCTCAGAAATAGAAATGATAGGAGGATCCGGAACAGGTAACACCTGCTCAGTTCTCCCAGTCGGGGAAATAGCATTAGAGGTAAGAGAATATTGATTATTATCAGTATTCAAAGCATCAGGGAGAGAGGTTGATGATAGTCGAGCCCTCTCAGTATTCGAAATAGTAGGCGGGGGAGCAGGTATGACCTGCACGACACGCCCAACCTGCTGTCCCTCAGTCTGGACCGAAGGGATAACAATTGGGTGGGGGGTGACAGCCATAGCAATTGCCGGAGTAACCTCAACATTTTCCACAGGGAGCAAAGGGGCCTGATCAACGTGTAACTGTTTCATATTTCCCCCTTTCCTCAACTCAGGATGTAGTTTGAAACATTGGTCCTGACCGTGGCCAAACATTTGACAGTGAGTGCAATAAGAGAGGTGTTGTTCTAATAAAATCAGCTGTCAGTATCTATTGTGAGCTGATCCAATCCTAGTAAGGTAACATCTCGTTCGATTAAAACTCTAGCCATAGCTCGTCTCGATAGTCATTCTCGTGAGATTATAGGTAGGAGCATCTAATTTAAGGGGTCTCCTGAACATAGAAGCCAAGGAGAACAGAATTTCATGGTTGAAAAGATGAACTTTCAAACCTGGGAACCGAAGCCGGAACCGAAGGAACCGAAGCCAAACCGGGATAATTGGGGCCTCAGCTTTGGGATCAAAATTAGCAAACCATTTCAAGACTTTCATTCCACAATCCTCAAACCACACCATACGCCTAGCAAACAGACGCGTATAATCCTACTCATTGGACAACTGAAGTAAAATGTGTCTTCCATCCGAAGGTAAAGGTCCTATATTCCAATTTCCGGTAAGCTTCATCTGTTCGAAATATTTTCGAAGAACTCCATTTTAGGATACCCATACAGGAATTTTCCTATCAGATGTAGGCGACAGGAAGAAGCGAGTTCGCCGTTCTTGTCATCAGAGAGGAAGAGAGCCAGCTTACCCCCTTTTCGGCCATGACGTCGAACGAAAGAAGAATCAAAGCCGAGTGCAAGTGAGTCATAGAAGACAGAAGGGAAGTTTGGAACGCCATCTGCGGTCACGCTGGCATAGGAACGATACCGTTTACCCGCGTCACCAACGTCGTCGGCAGTCACGCCAGTGTAAGATCGAGCCATGCCGCCCGATTACTCACATCACCATCGAGTCACAAACCTTAGCAGAGTTGAAATCGCGACCATCGTAACTTATAGTATATATCTGTATGTGTGTGTGTGTGCACTTACTAGGGCTCGTTGGTAGAGTACTCTCTCTGAAGGTGATAAGTCCCCCTCAGGTCACTGGTTCGAATCCCCCCATGTGTAGAGTGTGGTACTCGAATATTTAACACACCTAGGGATGATCGGGACTCGTATAATAGACTTTGACCATTCCTTTATATATATATATATATATATATATAATTGATTAGTAGTATTTCGAGCCAAAACGAGCTGAACACAAACAAACGAATCTTTGTTAGTGTTCTATTCGTTTATATATAAAGCATAAAAAAGTGTTCGTGATCAGTTCGTTAACTGAAGGTCCTATCTTCCAATCTCCGGTAAGCTTCATTGATTCTTTTTAGAATACCCATACAGGAATTTTCCTACCAGATGTAGGCGGCAGGAAGAAGCGAGTTCGCCGTTCTTGTCATCAGAGAGGAAGAGAGCCAGCTTACCCCCTTTTCGGCCATGACTTCGAACGAAAGAAGAATCAAAGCCGAGTGCAAGTGAGTCAGAGAAGACAGAAGGGAAGTTTGGAACGCCATCTGCGGTCACGCTGGCATAGGAACGATACCGTTTACCCGCGTCACCAACGTCGTCGGCAGTCACGCCAGTGTAAGATCGAGCCATGCCGCCCGATTACTCACATCACCATCGAGTCACAAACCTTAGCAGAGTTGAAATCGCGACCATCGTAACTTATAGTATATATCTGTATGTGTGTGTGTGTGCACTTACTAGGGCTCGTTGGTAGAGTACTCTCTCTGAAGGTGATAAGTCCCCCTCAGGTCACTGGTTCGAATCCCCCCATGTGTAGAGTGTGGTACTCGAATATTTAACACACCTAGGGATGATCGGGACTCGTATAATAGACTTTGACCATTCCTTTATATATATATATATATATATATATAATTGATTAGTAGTATTTCGAGCCAAAACGAGCTGAACACAAACAAACGAATCTTTGTTAGTGTTCTATTCGTTTATATATAAAGCATAAAAAAGTGTTCGTGATCAGTTCGTTAACTTAACGAACGAGTCGAACACGAACTATTTGCGAACAACGAGCTGTTTTGACAACCCTAGGTGTATCAATATAAAGCGTATTGAATGAGTGTTGATGAAGATTATTGAATGAGTGTTGATGAAGAGTATTGAATGAGAGCATCAACATTGTAAGTTTTGGTTTAAGTTTACAAAGGTGCTTAAGAATGGTTGACCATTATAGCAATGTCAAAGCAAGTGGCGGACTCATTAAAGAGGGTAATGTTTGAGATGAAGATGATGATTTCACAAAGGGAATACTCAATAGCATATAAACGAGTTTGAGTTAGAAGGAATTGTGAGAGCTGACCTGTGGAGATAAAGAAGTTTGAGGATTGCAATATATTGAAAAAAGTGCTAAAAAAGATCAGAAGAATTCTAGGCTATGGCTTTGACACAATATTAGATGGGAGAAAATTGAAACAAATAACATCTACACTCAATATCTTCACAGTCTATACAGCTTTCTACTTACATATAGTAAAGAGAAGAGAATAATGAAGAAGTACAATAAAGGAGAATATTTTTAACAATGAGGGAATATAATAATAATAATAAATATAACAAGAAAATATAGCAGATCTTAATATAAAAAGTTAACACGTGAAATATAACAAGAATATAGCAGATCTTAATATAAAAAGTTAACACGTGATATTTAGATATAGTAGTTGGTGATTTGATGAACAAAATTGGGACATCAATTATTTTATGTTATTTATTCTTTTTTAGAAAAGAAAAAAAACCCTCCCTTCAGACGTTTTTTTTTTCTTTTTTACATTTTTTAGTCTTTTTGGGGATATAAACCTAAGGTTCTATAATTGCTCACATATTATATTTTCATCTAAACCAAGAATAAATCCCAATATTTATGAATTTGGTCACTAGTTACTACCATTTTGGATGTAGATAATAGCATTATGGATCTAATTAGTCACACTCCTAATGTGGTTATTAATTTGCTGAAAATTAATCAGCGGCGACATTCAGGCTTTGTGTAACCAAATTCATTATTTTAGTAATCATATTCAAATTAATATGAACGAGATTCATAATTTTGGCTATCATATTCATAAATATTAGGACAAGTATTAATTTGTGGTTAATCACAAGTTGTCAGGATGTTTCACCTCATTTTATGTTGGATTTGAGACTTTTGTAGATGCTGTGTTCACACATATTCTTTTGTTTGAGTTCTCATATTGGATATTGTAATTTTATGCAGAAAGCTACCAACAAATTTGCTGCTACAAGAAAAATTATTATGAGAACAATCAAGCTTTTTTGGTTGGGTGTGTTGCTCCAAGGTTTACTCTATTTTTTCTAGTCTATTGGCCCCATTATTTTTTCCTGTAAAGTAAAGACATGTCTTTGGTTCACCTGAACATTTCATTTCTTTCACTGAAGTACTGGGATGACTGATGCAAAATATGGTTTAAGGTGGATACTTTCATGGCCGTAATCACTTGACATATGGCGTTGACATCGATCATATACGATGGCTAGGAGTATTACAGGTAATGTGGCATAGCTTTGTCTCGTATATGGATTTTTGGTTTTTATGTTTTCTATTTGGGCCATTTATATACTTACAACACAATTCTTTTGTATTTGCATATGTAACGCCTAAACATTCATATGTATATGCATACGAGTCAAAGCTTTAACATCACGTAAGAAATACTACTATCACTATCTTTTTAAATGTTAAATACATCTTTTCATGCACAGTTTTATGACACCAAGATTTTATAAGTCTAAATATCAAACTTTGGGTGTTAGATATATAAATACATAGGAATCGTGTGTTACTAATGTAAAATAGGAAACCGGGACTTGTGTATTGTTATTGTGAACTTCGATTTATCTTTTGTCTTTGTATTACATGGTGTTTTGCTTTTTTTGTTGGAACATTTTATGGTCGTTTGAGTAGGATTTCTGTGCATTTATGGTGTTTTTCTAATTATTTGATATACTTTTGGATGTACTGTATATGCTTATCTTTTGAGCTTCTGCTATCATTGACTAGCAGTTGCTGAAAATGTTCGATAGAACCATTTTATTGCTGAAGGAGAGGAGTTGTTTTGCAACATTTTATTGTTCATTGAATCAACTTCATGAATAACTTAACAAGAGTAAAAGATGATTCAGGATGGGGGGACTGATCCTCCACCTCAGATACTTTGGAATAGAGAAATATGCACATGTTTGATTTGCATTTCTTTTTATGCGCAGATGAACATGGTCATGGACCATTGTCATATTTGGTCTCTCTGATTCTTTGTTAGTATTAATAGTATCTTTTAGGTTTCAATATTTTCGTAAATGCTAGTATAATGTGTGGCTGTATTTTGTTTGATTGTGTTGTTTTTTGTGTAGACTGAGGTTCTAGATACAATGTTCAATATCTATTCTTTTTTTCTTTCTCTTTCATCTTTTTTAATGCCATTTAGTTTGTTAAAATTTTGTAAGTGGTCGAGTTGTATGTTGGATGATGATTGACATCTAGATTACTTCTATTTAATTTAATTATAATATCAAGATGTCTGTGAACTAACCATTGCCCTTATACCCATTATCTTATACTGCGTTTATTACTGGTGAAGGTTTATGTTGCTATAATGTAATGTCTTTTGAGCTTAAAAACACTGGGGTAACTTATCAAAACCTCATGGATATAATCTTTTCTAATCAAAAAGAAAAAAATTTTGAGGGGTATGTGGATGATGTGCTTCTTAAGAGTCAGTCGACTGAACATTACATTAATAATCTAGAAGAAACCTTCCAAACACTAAGAAAATTTAACATGGGGCTAAATCTACAAAAATGCACATTTAGAGCCTCAACTGACAAATTCCTTGGATACCTCATAACTTCCGAAGGTAGGAAGGCCAATCCGGAGAAAATACAAGCACTGTTGAACAACATGCCTTCTCCCAGGAATGTTAAGTCAACCTGCCAGATATTAGGGCTTTGCCGGTTCATTTCGAAGTCGAGCAATAAGTGCGCGACATTCTTTAAAATGTAAGGAAGGGCAAGAGATTTGAATAGTCGACCAAATGCGAGCGGGCGTTCCAGAGCCTAAAGTAATCACTATCCTCACCACCAACTCCAAAATCAATGGAAGAATTCTCTCTGTACGTAGGGGTTGGGTCCGAGGCTATCAACTTAGTCTTGGTCCAGGAGGAGTTAAGAAAGCAGTTCCAAGTCTACTATACCAGTCGAGACTTCAGAGGTGTCGAAGTCAGGTACCCCATCATGGAGAAACTAACATTTGTTTTAATTGTCTCTGTTCTCAGGCTCCCACCATATTTTCATACACATCCAATTAGGGTCATTATTGACCACCCCCTCAAATCTGTACTCACTTTGCCAAGCATTCCAGTCAATTTCTTAAGTTGGTTGTGGAGTTTAGTGAATATGATATTTACGTGCCTGGGACAATGATTAAAGCTCGAGCTATCAAGGACTTTCTGGCGGACTTCTCCGTAAAGGCGAATCACACTTACGTGTCTGGGACAATGATTAAAGCTCAAGCTATCAGGGACTTTCTGGCGGACTTCTCCGTAAAGGCGAATCAGGCGAAGGAACTGACACTGGCAACCAAACCTGGATCTTGCACATCGACGGAGCTTCGAGTCAGGCGGGAGCAGGAATTAGACTGACACTGAGCAGCCCAATCGGAAAGCACCTTTACTATTTAGTCGTCCTCAAGTTTGAAGTCTCCAACAACCAGATGGAGTACGAAGCATTGATAGTTGGCCTATGTCTAGCCAAATAAATGGGCACCCGATGTCTCCTGGTGAAATCAGATTCCTAACTAATGGTGAATCAAGTCAACGGAGAGTTCGAGGCCAGAGATGAGATTATGACCAAGTACTTAAGTTAGGCAAAGGCAGAGATATGGAAGTTTGTAGACTTCAGAATCCAATATGTCGATCGGGAGAAAAATCAACTGGCAGGCCTTCTATCCAAGAACATTTGCTTGGGGGAAGGGTTGTTTCAGAAGCCTCTCCACTGGCCTTTGAGGAACCTAGAGCCATGAAGGTGGAAGCTGAAAGCACAAAAAGATAGATAAATCCCTACATCCAATACTTAGAAAACAAAAAAATTCTTGAGAAAATCACTAACCCAATAAGATTCAAGTTCAAAGTTGTACAATATCTCATAATTGAAGGGAGACTCTTTTGAAGATTGACCACCTCACTCTTCTTAAGATGCATAAAGGAAAACAAGACGGAAGTAATTATGAGAGATGCACTCTAGTGAATTTGAGAGTCACTCTGGAGGGAAACCCTTGGCACACTAGATTCAGCGACAAAACTACTTCTGAACAATCCTCATGAATGATGCATAGGAGTTTTCAAAAGATTTGGGCAATACGAGAAGTTTGCTCCGTTGTAGCATCAATCGACCTATAACCAATTGTCAGTCCCTAGCCTTTCGACGTCTGGGGTCTTGACATTCTTGGGTCATTTCCTCCTTCCAAAGGTCAACGTAAATTTCTTTTACTCGTTGTGGATTACTTCTTAAAATGTATTAAGATGCTCACCTGAATTATGGTGGAGGTCGTCCGAACTTTATCTGGATGGACGTCATATGTTGGTATGCCTTACACATGGTATTTATCACTGACAATGGGACAATTCACTAACCAAGGGGTAAGGAATTTCTGCCAAAGTAAAGGAATCGACTTAACATTCACATGTGGGCATCATCTCTGGACCAACGAACAAGTGGAGGCTACCAACAAGATATTTCTAATTTTGTTAAGGAAAAAATTTGAAGGAGCAAAAGGGAATTGAGCAGACTTACTTCAGTCTGTCCTTTGGGCTATTCGATCAACACTGTCAACAACGACCACTCAAACTCCTTACATGCTCTCCTAGAAACGGAAGCAATTGCCGGTGGAGTTTAACCACCATAACTAGAGGGTCGTCGCAGCCTTCGCACTTGATGAAGAGAATCTCACTGACTAGGAGTCAAACGATGTAGGAACTCTCAACTTAAGGAAAATTTAACTAGCATAGGGCTTCAACAAAAATTAGAAAAAAAGGAGGACCGCTCGATATTACAATAGACACGTCTGAGAGAAGACATTTATGCCCGATGACTTGGTCCTGAGAAAGCCAACCCAGCATCCCGATGATGGGCAGTCGGTAAACTTGACTAAACTTGAACCGACCCATTCATTGTCGATTAAAGAGTCGTCCCAAGAGAATATAAGCTAAGGACCTACTTCAGGAAAGAAGTCCCCAACATGTGGAGCGGGGATGTTCTCAAGAAATTTTTCTTTAAATCAAATACTTTGTACCAACATGGAAGAAATAATAAAAGAATTTTTTGCTTCCAACACTTATAAATCTTTGTTTTAAGATAATCTTAACAAAAACAAACATTGGCTAACTAGGCGTCCATCACCCCAAATTTGAACGACACTCGGGGAACTCGAGAAGTTGATGCACCTTAGCATCGAAATGACACTCGGGGAACTAGAGTACTCTAAACTGCGACCAACAACAACGTAAAAACACAATTAAAAAATAAAGTAAAGCACATGACGGGGAACTAGAGTACTCTAAAATGCGACCAACAACAACGTTAAGACGTCCGATGAACAAGAAATGTAATTTTTTCGTCTTGCAAAACTCTCACCTCATAAGCCTGTGTCTCTAAGTTAGGATTGGACGAAATTCTAGAGGTGGTTCCCTGTCCAGTAACTACAAGTTTCGCGAATGGTTACGAGAAAATCACCCCGAAAAAGAGTATCGGCGGATACCCCTACGGGTAGTAGTGCCGCACCGCAGTTTTTTTCCTATTTGACAAAACTGTGTTTTTTCTTGCGTTCTCAAAAAGCTACAGCTGAAAGCTGTATTTTTCGACCAGACCTGGATATCTGTGGTAGTTGCTAGAAAGTTGCAGTCATGTATCCCGATGTCATTGCAGCTTTTTGAACAACAACTTTTTCAGCAGCTTCATAGCAGCATCTTCAAATAGATGCAACTGCCCCAAATAGACCCTCAAGTTAAGTAAGGCCCGAGCCGAGTCTTGACACTCTCTATAAACGTACTATGATGCATGTCATTGATTAGTTAAGAAAAATCTAAAAAGACTGCTAACGACTTCATGACGTCCGATTGACGTTCACACACTAAGGACCGACCCTCAACGCTCAAGCAACTGAAACATGTCCCTAAAACTCGAGTCGAACGAAGTGCTATAGATGGTTACTTGCCTAATAACGACAAGCTCCGTGAAGGGTCAACACTGTTCGAGGTAATGACACAATTGAGCAAATGGGACAGGCACAACGTAAGACTTGAGCTGGGTGGAAATTGCACCAAGATCGACCAAAATGACTAATCAACCAGTAGTATGATATACCATTAATTGAATGAAAGCAGGTAAAAACACAATTAAAAAATAAAGTAAAGCACATGTAAAAATCAATTGAAGGCCGTGTTTCATTCAAATAATAGTTCGGGTTACAAATTTATTTTTTTCTATACAAAACTTTGCCCGCTATATATAATGTTTCAATTACAGCTCAAACAATCAAAATTTCCCTATGTCTAGGTTTCCTTAGTCCGAGTGTTGGATGATCCTATGCCCGTCATGTTCTTGCCCTCAGACTCCTCTCTCTGAGCTTCTGTTGAGGGAGTGGAGAAGAGCTTTTTGATTCCAGCTAAGTGTGAGTACTTCGATTGACTATCCCGACCCTAACAAATTTGTCGATGGCCAACCTTGTACCCATCCTTAGATGTGAGACCTAAGTATCGGAAAACTCTTCAGGCGTCTTCATTGTGTCTGTCTAATCTATTAGTTCGACGTTCTCTTCTTGGGCAACATCCACCCACTTAGATGCAATCTCCAACTCGACCTCAGCATCATTCAGTCAGCCGATCTTCAGCCGCTTTCGCTCATACCTTCACTTTTGCCTCTACCTTCAAATCCCTTTCTCTTACTTCGGGGTAGAGGTGGGGGCATATGATATGTGACCGCGAGTCCCTACCACTGGTACCGGCCGACCATATGTTAGAGATCCCTTGGTTGAAGCTCGTTCGGGTACTTTTGGAAGCTCTCCGACCAAAGCACGTTGGCAATGGTCGAAGCATACTCCACCATCCTAGGAGCCTTTGGGAACCAATCCCTTAGTACATTTATCAGAGAGAAGTGGGAGTCCGGGCTAAGGAAGTCATTCGGTCGATCCTTGTGCATCAGACTCCAATAGCCCTTAGCCCCCTTTTACTTTTTTTCTCGAAGGTAACGGGAGAGAAGAATCAGAATCATCAGTCAAAGCTTTGCCCTTCCTCTAGTGCGCTTCTTCTTCTCAGGTGGTCGACCCATTCTCCTTGTTAGGCTTTAACCCGACCTCCTCTCATCCAGCCAAGCTTTCCTCCATGACCCTCTCTTCCAACCCTTCGTTTGACTCAGTTGATGACCCTGGAGAACGTCGACTTGCCTGAGGAGGAAGGCCTGAGGAAAAGGCCGAGTGACCTTCCTTGTCCATGGTCGTTTTGAAGACTCGACACCTGACTCAAGAACAACGAGAGTTCTCTAGTTTTCTTGGCGACTCTCCCTTGATGTCCCTACGTTCATCAAAGTGGGTTTTCATTCAATCTGACTCAAGTCTCTGGCGACAGTGTTTTGAATAACAACCATTGTTTCAAAAATAGAATGCATGAATTCCGAACCTGTGACAAAGTTCGAGTTTTTAGTCGTCCTCATCTTCTTCTTTTGCCTTTACCACATCCCATCTTTCTCTTCCTCGGCTCCTTCTATGAAAGCCAAGGGTTCTTCTCAGTCTGCCCCATTTCCTCCTTATCGACGTGGCCCATAGTTTTGTAGTCATAGTGCCAAATCGAACGGAATTCAACGACTGTTTCATCGTCATGGGGTCAGTTTACTGAATAACCGATAGTTGTTTCCTCATTAAGATCGACGCCAGTCCCATGATCCGCGTCGGGACTCCCTTCTTTTTCTTATATGACTCTCCGATCGGCCGTATTGCAATCCCCAGCCTTGACAAATCCCGCGAAGGAAACATAAATTTTAATCTTTCATCTTATTCTCATGATCAACCAAGCAAAATTTTCGTGTCAATCCGAAGACAACATAACAATCGAGCTCCACCCTGAAGGAGAACATGTAAGAGAATAACTTCTAGGACCAAGGGATCTCCATCCACCGACAGTAAATCACGAACGCCATAATAGCCTCAGTGGAGTTCGACTTTATCTGCACAGGGATTACTCCATAATACATCAAGATTGATTGAATCTCATGTTAGAAGGGTAGCCAAGTCCTCGTCGGAACTGGTTTCTATAGGAGATTAGATCATCACTTAAATTGTCGGTCGCCCGATCCTTCGGCTCCACAGTTCTGAGCATTATGTTCGCACTATACACACAAGTACCTTCGAGCAACTCAGCATCGAATGATGAAATGCAAGGCATTACTTTTGTCGGCACCGAATCGAAGAGCTGAGAGGAGTATTTGGAAGCCATGCGAACCAACCGAAGCAAACCAAACCAAGGGGAGAGACAAAAAATGACTGAAAGGAAGGGAAAAAATAATTTATAAAGCGTGAAAAATTTTGAACCCTTGACTTTTATATATAGGGCACTCAGGGAAGTCAAAACATCGTAGAGTCGTACCTCGATCT